CGCTGCGGAGAAACTGAAAATCACTCTCGGCGCGTCGACGCTGCGCTTTAGCGTCGCGTGATGTCCGCCAGCCCGTCCGCGGAGCGTCTCCGTCGGTGTGCTTTCAGCTGAAATGACGCTCTTCCGCCCAGCAGAGATCGGTGTGTCCGTCGGTACCGGGGGCGCTGAGAGAGACCCGCAGCTCCGCCCTCCGGACCACCGACACACAAACACACACACACACACACTCACACACACACACACACACACAGCAAGTGCGACAACCAGCGGAGGAGCGTCATATCACCATAAATCACCACTTTATTAATATTTATATATCATGTATTATTATTAATGATTATTATTATATATTCATACAATTTATATATCATAATATAAGCGAAACAGACAACACTATTTACACACACACACACACACACACACACACAGCAAGTGCAACAACCAGACGAGATCATCGCTTTACATGATCTCAAACTCGATTCCTGGAGAGCCGCAGCTCCAACCATCTCCAACTCACACCTGCTTAATAGTCTCTAGTAGTCTCGAACAGTGTTTCTCAACCATGTTCCTGAAGGAGCACCGGCACTGCATGTTTTGGATGTCTCCATTGTCTGTCACACCCATCTTCCAGTCTAATCTGATATTTTGAATCGGGTGTGTTTGGATAAGGAGACATGGAGAATGTGCAGAGATGGTGCTCCTCCAGGAACGTGGTTGAGAAACACACTCTGATTAGGCTGATCAGCTGTGTTTGACTAGGGTTGGAGCAAAACTGCAGAGCTGCGGCCCTCCAGGAATTGAGCTTGAGACCGATAAAACCAATAAAAGAAGAAAAAAATATCATCAGAAATACTGTGAAAATTTCATAAATACTTTAAAAAGAAAAAATAATTAAAAGAAGAAAGAATAGTTTTGCCCTCAACTGTATTAATAATAATTATTATTCAAATATTCATTTCATACATCATGCGGAACAAACATATAGCCACACACACGCACACACTATATAAAATGCTTGTTTCCTCACAATATCAACACAAATCTATTAAGTTAATCATTTTTATAAATTTAAGTAGATTGAACATAAAACAACTTAACAGTGTGTTTTTCTTCTGTAAAAGCTACATAACGAGATATTATTTCCCTGCTTTTGTTTAAGCTTTGTAATAAAAATAAAATATAATAAAAAATAATTATAAATTAAAATATTATATTTCATATTGAGGAATACTAAATAAAATCTTTACCTAATCTTTACTAAAATCGTGTAAGCAGGAGTGCTTTAAAAAACTAAATCTGCTGTTTAACCTTGTCTGATCTGTGAAAAAATATTCAGAAAAAAAGAGAGAACTGATTCAAGACAATAAATAAATTTCTTAATATTCATTTGAATCTGTTAGTAAAGATTTGCTTTAAAAAACTGACAATAAAAGTAAAATAAACGATAAAAAACAATAAAATGCACAAAAAAATCAGCGTAAATTTAAATAACCTTTTTTAAAACATTTTTTTTTTTATTTACATTCCTTCCATACTTTTTACAATGTCTCTTTTAGCTGTGTGTTGACCATCAGTCTGCATTCCCAGCAGGCCTCAGATCAGCAGATGTTCACTGGTCAGCTGTGTTTCAGTGTGAAACCTGATCTGCAGTCAGTGAAGCAGATGCAGGACAGAGCTGAGTTGTGTTGAGGTGAGGCTGTGAATCCAGGAAAGAGCGTTTATATAAACTTCTGCATCCGGCTCTCTTGCTCATAACATCATTACAGTCTCATGTGTTTTCCCGGAAATCCTGAAGAAAAACACTCACTGTTTTAGCGCCACCTACTGCTCAGTCAAACTATGAACAACTGGGAATGTGTCCTGAAGCCATGCACATCTGAAACAAAGGCGTCTGGAGAGTTTTATCCACAGATGTGCAAAATACAACAGCGAAACATCAAATATGATGAACACCGCAGTTCTGACTCATCTATAAATATTCTGTCATTTTAATAAAATTAAAAGAACATCAAATTAAAACATGCTGTTATAATAATCTATTATAATAAGTTCATAGTAAATACCAAAGTGTTTTTGAACTGTACTATAGTAGTAAAGTGTATTGTGCAGTATATACTATAGTATATATTATGTAATGAATGCTGCAGCATGCTCTATAATTAAGCACTAAATACTGTAGTTTATTTGTACTGCAGTAAACTGGTGTATTGTGGTATAATATACACTACATTTCTAGCAAACTACAGTATTGGCTCATTTGTTTATAATACAATAGATGTTGTGTTACCTAGCAACAATAGAATAACCACAACACAGTTTTGCTGTATTGCCATAGAAACTAAAGAATCAGCACAATAGAGTAACTTCTAGATGTTGTTACCATGACAACTGTAGATTCACCACAAAAGATTTGCTGCTGTATTGTCATATATAGCAACTATACAATCAGAACAACAATTTCTATAAATGTTGTTACCATAGCAACTGTAGAATCACCACAACAGATTTGCTGCTGTATTACCATAGCAATTATAGAATCACCACAACAGAGAGTAATTTCTATAGATGTCGTTACCATGGCCGCGACTCAGTGGCGTAGTGGGTAGCGCGCTCGCCTCACAGCAAGAAGGTTGTTGGTTTGAGTCCCGGCTGGGTCAGTTGGTGTTTCTGTGTGGAGTTTGCATGTTCTCCCCGTGTTGGCGTGGGTTTCCTTCAGGTTCTCCGGTTTTCTCTGGTTATAGGGGAAATGGGTAATTGAAATTGTCTGTAGTGTATGAGCGTGAATGAGAATGTATGGGTGTTTCCCAATGATGGGTTGCAGCTGGAAGGGCATCCACTGCATAAAACATTTGCTGGATAACTTGGCGGTTCATTCCGCTGTGGCGACCCTTGATGAATAAATGGACTAAGCCGAAAAGAAAATGAATGGTACCATAGTAACTATAATCACCACAAACGATTTGGTGCTGTGTTACCATAGCAACTATAGAATCAGCTCAACAGAGTATTCTCTATAAATGCTGTTACCATAGCAACTGTAGAATCACCACAACAGATTTGCAGTTGTGTTACCATAGCAACTGTAGAATCAGCACAACAGATTTGCAGTTGTGTTACCATAGCAACTATAGAATCAGCTCAACAGAGTATTCTCTATAAATGCTGTTACCATAGCAACTGTAGAATCACCACAACAGATTTGCAGTTGTGTTACCATAGCAACTGTAGAATCAGCACAACAGAAAGTAATTTCTAGATGTTGTTACCACGGCAACTGTAGAATCAGCACAACAGATTAAGTCAAATACTTCACTACAGTGTGGTTAAAACACTAGTATTTACTATGAGTTACTATAGTATAATTTCATGCAGCAGAAGACCCAAACGCTGAAGTGTGCATCCAGCTGTATTCACACAGTTGTAGATTTTTAATCAAGCTTCTATGTTTATTATAGGAAGGCACTAAAACTCCAATAACACACAGAAACAGACAGACAGACAGACAGACGACTGCAGAACTGCTCTCGGTGACTTTACATGAAGCAGACAAGCAGGTCAGAGAACGTGAAGGGGTAAAACTGAAGAGTAATGAGCAGACGTCACCGTGAGTGAACACAGTCTCTTCCCTTTTATAGAGTCAGTCCAGCTCCTCCATCCACCACACAGTCAGAGACGACGGACTGTGCTCACAGATGTGTGTGTGTGTGTGTGTGTGGTCACTGCGGCCCTAGCTCTGCGCTCACAGTCTGGCTGTCGTTGTGGTCTTTCCCCCAGAGCCGGAAGAACTGGGTGAAGTCCACGTATGGCGGCACACGGCCCGTCTCGTCCGGCTGCGCTGCCTGGTTGCTCCTCTGCCGGAACAGGCTGCCGTCCCCCGAGCTGGAGCTGGAGCTCTGCGTGTGTGTGTTCGTCGACTGCAGCGTCGTCGAGGGGCTCTGATTGCTGGGCGGAGCACAGACAGGGGGAGGGGTGGAGTCAGAGACACAGGTGAGGGCGGGGGTGGAATCAGAGATACATGTGGGGGCGGGGTCAGGGAGACAGGTGAGGATGGAGGAGGGGTTAGAGATATGAGTGATGATGGGGGTGGAGTCAGAGAGACCAGTGGGGGTGGAGTCAGAGAGACCAGTGAGGATGGAGGAGGGGTCAGAGAGACGGGTCAGATTGGGGGTGGGTTCAGAATAAAGGGTGAGGATGGGGGGAGGGTCAGATATATGTGTAGGGGCGGGGTTAGAGTGACAGAATGGTAAAGGGGTGTGGTCAGGAAGCTCACTGATAGGCTGTAAGGTGTCTATGGTCAGGGGGATCAGAGGAGTCATTAGACTACAGTTAAGTAAGGGGCCGCAGAGACAGATGGATGAGTTGATTTAAGACCCACAGCTTTATGTACAGTTACAAACACATGCAGCTCCACAACACATCAGTGACGTGTGCTGTACTTCACTCTAGTCAATCTAGGGCCAATATATTTGCAAAATAAAAGAAAGTTTTGCTTAATACTTTATCTTTTGTTTGCAAAACTTTCTTTTATTTTGCAAGTATATAAGGCCCTAGCCTGTTACCTGATTACTTGGCAGTGTGTGTGTGTGTGTGTGTGTGTGTGTGTGTTTGTGTGAGTGTTACCCAGCAGTGGGCGTGTCTCCCTCCAGTGTGGATGAGGTGCTGGAGCCGTTGGTCAGCGTTCCCTGAGCCGGCATGACCAAAGACAGAGTCACGCTGGTTTTACTGGTGCTCTGATGGTTTGAGTATGGCACAGACACTGGGTAGATCCGGCCTCCTGAAACACAAACGCACACACACACATTATTGAATATATATATATATACACACAGGTCAAACCATTGTTGTCCAACGACATGCCTAATTAACGTGACATGCCTATTAAACCTAATTAAGCCTTTAAATTGCTCATTAATAGTGATATATTATGTACTGTCATCATGGTAAAGACAGAAAGCAGCAGTTTCTCTGTGTTAAACAGGAGGCTAATATTCTGCTGCATGTACTGAACAGAAATGATGTTGGTGTGTGTGTGTGTGTACCTTGTGTTGGTGTGAGCGATCCGTCAGCGAGTGTGTAGTTGATGACTCTGATCAGCAGGGTCATGTCCTCGTGGTGAGCGCAGTGTTGCGCCCTCTGTCTGCCGCTCACGAACACATCATGATGCAGACGCTTCACCCGCTCCACCACCGCCTGCGCCGCGGCCTCCAGACTGCCCTGCTGCGCCAGCTCCGCCGCCACCATCGCCACCACCTCCTGCAGGCCATATCAAAGAGACAGAGCAGTTAGGCCACGCCTACATGGGGAATTAACACACCTACTCAGGAATCAAAAGAGACAGAGCACATTTAGGCCACACCCACTAGTGAATAAATAGAAACTGTGCATTTAGGACACACCCACTTAGGGAAGCAATAGAGATAGAAATAATTTAGGCCACACCCTCTCAGAAATCATTAGTGACAAAGCATTTAGGCCATGCCCCCTCTGGGGAATCTTTAGTGACAGAAAGCATTTAGGCCACACCCACTTGGGAATCAACAGAAAATGTGCATTGAGGACACGCCCACTCAGGAAATCAATAGAGACGGAAAGCATTTAAGCCACACCCACTTGGGAATTAATAGAGACAGAAAGAATTTAGGTCACGCCCACTTGGGAATAAAAAATGTGCATTTAGGACACGCCCACTCAGGGAATCAATAGAGACTAAAAGCATTTAGGCCACACCCACTTGAGAATAAATAGAAACCATGTATTTAGGACACCCACTCGGGATAAAAAATTTTTGCATTTAGGACACGCCCACTGAGGGAATCAATAGAGACAGAAAGCATTTAGGCCACACCCACTAAGGAATAAATGGAAACCGTGCATTTAGGACACGCCCACTACGGGAATAGAGACAAAAAGCATTTAGGCCACACCCACTTGGGAATTAATAGAAACCATGCATTTAGGACACGCCCACTCAGGGAATCAAGAAACAGAAAGCATTTAGGTCACACCCACTTGGGAATAAATAGAAACAGTGCCTTTAAGCCACGCCCACTCAGGGGATCAATAGACGGAGATAATTTAGGCTACACCCACTTGTGGAATCAATAGAGACAGATATTTTAGGCCACACCCACTTGTAATATGAACAGGCACCACACCCCCTCAGGGAATTAAGAATGTTTGCTAACCTATCTAGCTATGTGGGTTCATGCTAATAGTAAATAAATAATGTATTCTTTATACATATATTGTCGATGATTTGGGTCACATTAATAATATTCACACTTCCCAATGTCCGTTAGGGTGCATGTAGTGTGTATCCATCCGCCCTTATTTTCACATGCACTGTGGTACTCTTTAGCCTGCGAATGTTTCAGTGCACTGGAGGAGTTTTGCAATTGAGACAGCTGACGCCCTATTCAGTGCACTGACCAGTGAACAAGAGTGCTGATTGAGACGCACCCTCTGTGTTTGTGCAGCATCTTGAGCTGATGATTGGTTGTTGATCTACCTGGTTGACCTGCTCCGGTCCGTGTGCCGCCTCCAGGGCTTTGATGAGCCCCTCTGACATCAGCAGCAAGAAGCCCGTCACGCCTGCCAGTGATTGGCCGCCGTGGATCTCAGGCTCTGCGATGATTGGCTTATGCTTTGCTGCACTGTGAACATTAGTTAAACACATGTTTGGTTGGTTGCTGCTTTAATAAAAACAAATATTAACCCCTCCTCCTCTCCGCCCCTGTGCTCACTCAGGGCTACTGTTTATGCTAATGAGGGAGAGATGGGCACTAGTGGGCGGGGCTTTCCCCCTCTGATGACACGTGCAAAGGGAGAATGTCAATCACAGTGTGATTATAAACAATACATCTCTTTAATGTGTGTGTGTGTGTGCGTGCGTGTGTGTGTGTGTGTGATTACTGACAGATGAACACACACCTGAGCACGTCGATGTCTGTGTAGTTGAACTTGACTTTATAATCTCCGATGCGGCGAGTGCTGCTCTGACCTGAGATCACTGCTGTCTGTCTCAAGCGCACCGGATCCAGACCTGCGCAGAACACACACACACACACACACACACACATTTACACACAAACATCACTGAGATCGCACACACACACACTCGTCATATTTCTGCCCGCGCTGTTACTTGCAGACTAATGAATGAATGAGTTGTGTTGTGTTGACTCTGTGTGTGTTGTGTTGTGCTGTGTGGTGTGTGTTCACCCAGCTGTGCGAGTCTGGTCAGCTCGTCTTCATTATCAGTGGTGTGTGCTCGGCCGATCTGGATCACCTGATTCTGACCATCACTGGTGGTTTTGCACAGGAGAGCTCGATTAGTGCCTGAACACACACACACACACACACACACACACACACACAGAACATTACAGTTACACATTCAGTAGACGCTTACACACATCAACAACTGTAGTGTGCGTGTGTGTGTGTGTGTGTGTGTGTGTTTATTTTCTGTGTGTAAGTGTGTGTCAAACTGAGTGTATTTGTGTGTGTTTGTTTGTGTGTGTATGTTAGTGTGTGTATGTATGTATGCATGTGTGTATGTTAGAATGTGTGTGTGTAGGAGTGCATGTGTAAGAGTGTGTGTGTGTAGTGTGAATAAACAGTTTATTTGTTTGTGTGTAAAACTATGTGTGTATTTGTGTGTGTGTATGTTAGTGTGTGAATGACAGAATGTGTGTATGTGTAAAAGCATGTATGCAATTGTGTAAAAGTATGTATGTTAAAATGTGTGTGTGTGTGTGTGTACATACCTACGTTAGCGATGTAGAGTTTGTTTTTGAGGATGAGGGCCACTATCGCTGTTGCTCCTCGTGTAACCTCCTGCTCTAAAGTCTTCAGACGGTCTGCTATATTGTGTGTCTGAGCGGACACATACGCGCCCTACACACACACACACACACACACACACACACACACACACACACACACACACACACACACACACACACACACACACACACACACACACACACTATTGAATGTGTGAGTGTTTGTAACTGTTTGTGAGTGTGTGTGTGTTTATTTGTAAACGTGTGTTTGTGAGTATGTGTGTGTGAGTGTGTTTGTTTGTTTGCAAATGTATGTTTGGGAGTGTGTGTGGTTGTAACTCTATTTGTGAGTGTGTGTTTGTAAATGTGTGTGTGTGTTTGTGCGTGTGGTTGTAACTGTGTTTGTGAGTGTGTGTTTGTAAATGTGTGTTTGTTAATGAGTGTGTGTGGTTGTAACTGTGTTTGTGAGTGTGTGTTTGTAAATGCGTGTGTGTGTTTGTGCGTGTGGTTGTAACTGTGTTTGTGAGTGTGTGTTTGTAAATGTGTGTTTGTTAATGAGCGTGTGTGGTTGTAACTGTGTTGGTGAAGGTGTCTTTGTGTGTTTGTATTTGAGAGTGTGTGTGTGTGTGTGTGTGTGGTGTACCTCTGTTTGTGAGTGTGTGTTTGTAAATGTGTGTGTTTGTAACTGTGTTTGTGATTGTGTGTTAGTAAATGTGTGTGTGTGTGTGTGTGTGTGTGTGTGTTTGTGGTTGTAACTGTGTTTGTAAGTGTGTGTTTGTAAATGTGTGTTTGTTAATGAGTGTGTGTGGTTGTAACTGTGTTGGTGAGTGTGTGTTTGTAAATGTGTGTGTGTGTTTGTGCGTGTGGTTGTAACTGTGTTTGTGAGTGTGTGTTTGTAAATGTGTGTTTGTTAATGAGTATGTGTGTGTGGTTGTAACTGTGTTTGTGAGTGTGTGTTTGTGTGTGTGTGTGTGTGTGTGTATTTGTGCGTGTGTGTGTGTGTGTGTGTGTGTGGTTGTAA